GAAATTGTGATGAGCGTGTTAAAAATACAATATTATTTGAGATTTAGGAGAACGGAAAATGAATTGAAAAAAAAAAACCAAAAAAAAATATTAGAATATTAATTTGTACATTTGATTTTGTATAGCTATAAGTAGTAAGTATATTTTTACGGTAATGTACAGTAACGGTAAAATAATAGGGAAATTTAGTAGTTTTTTTTTTAATAAGGAATTTTTTTTTAGGTGAACGTGTTTAGTTTACGTAATAAAAAACGTTATGTAAGGAAATTAATTTAAATTTATAATGAGTATACGTACATATACATACATATGTGCATAAATGGGTTTAGAATTTTGATGAATTGGAAAATTGGATTTTAAAAGCTCATAAGTGAATGCAAAAAAAAAATTTCAACTAAAGGTCTCACGTACATAATATTTTAATTGGAAATTTTTGTGATAATAAATTTTATTATTGTAATATATAAATTATGTATACATATATATATGTACTTATATAATTGGTCAGAATCCTAAATGCGATTCGATGTTAATTCGATATTTGACGTTTAATTGGTATAAATCAGTTATACTTTATGTATACATTATAAAAAGGCACCAATTTCCATCTGTTTACCCTATGTATGCTTATGTATGTATTAGAATTTAAGTTCTTAATAACTGATTTGGCTGTAAAATTCGAAAAATTAATAATTGATTATGAAAATTTAAATGTAAATGAAATTATGTATGTATATAATTAAAATAGGATCATACCATCGACCCATACCGGTTAGAATTACAAAATTATAGAATTAGTACTACGGAATCAACTTTAATTCGATTAATAAATGAAATTTTAATTAAGTTTCGTTTCTTTCTGAAAGACTTAATGTTTTTTCATTTTAAAGTAATACAGTATTAATTACAGAATTCGAATTACATTAATACCGTTTAATGCAATTTCGAAGTCAGGGCAAATTTGTTGTTTTGTGATGACATTTATAATGTCAAATTAGTACTTGTAGATATACGGACAATATTAAATATAATGTAAATTTAATTAGATTTGCTGATTGTTATAATTAAGAATGCAAAAAAATTAAGGAAATCACATTTTAATTACTAATTTATTTATAGCACATTAATTAAAAAGTTAGTACTATCGGTGCCTTTTTGAAAGAAATTGTAAATATTTACGTGATTTGTTTTCGATAATTTAGGAAATAATTTAGGAAATTAATGACAATCTTAATTCATAATACTTATATTAAAGTTGTTAAATAGTAATTATCACGTATCCAACATTAAATTAAAATGTCAATACGTAAGAAGAAGGACGCACGTTGTATTAATTGGAAATTTTTAATTCTAAATATAGTTAATTTTTAAAATTTTGTGCAATTAGAATATTAATTTTTATTTTATAATTTAGTTTTTAGAATTGCTTTTATAATTTCTAAGAAAATTTGTAAAAAGTTTTAATTTATAATTTACTTATTCGTGGTATATTTACGTCAATTAAAAAATTATGTAGTCATACAGTAGTTAATCGTAGTACTTATAATCGAACTACTTATATGATGAATCCGTATTGATAAATGACATTTTTGAAATTTACGATATACCATAGAGCCTAATATTATAGACATACTAATTTTGTATAATAAAATTATTATGATCTGAATTTTTAGTATTTTATGAGAAACTTATTCTTTGTGGCACATTTTTTCAACGCTATTATATAATATTGGCTCGTAAGTAACATGTACTCGTAAGTGTAAACATGCCATATATCAAGGAAATTTTATTTTAAATTTAAATCAAATATCAAGAGGATGTTTAGCGAAAAAAAAGCAATTATTTTGGTGAATTTTTTTTATTGTTTTCGAAAATTACAAAATTATTTTTGTACATAGTACACATACATAGCTGTTATATAAACAATTTTCAAGTAAAAGATGATTGAATGCTTTGCCTAGAATATATTAATATAATAATAAATCTTGAAGATGATTGAAGGTTAGAGTTTAAGGATGTTGAAATTTTAAACAATTTACTAAAACAAATTTTATTGTTGAATAAAAATCATTATATCACATTCGAATTTTAGTATATCAGCTTAAAAATTAGCACAAATTATATTTACTTTTGAAGTTAGAAGAAATTTATGTAATAAATCTTGAATTTTTAGAGTAATAATTTAATTGTCTGCTTAGAGTACACAAAAATTCAAATTAAATTTAATTGTTTCAAGAATTCAAGGATATTTTCTTATGTATTCGAAGAAATTGATATTGTAAAGGAATCTTCTATAAGAGTATGTTTCATTAAATGTGTGGGTGTGTCTCTTAAATGTATTAATCTCCAAACTGTAATTAACAATTTGACTATAATATGGTGTAACTCAAACTTAAAAAGGAATGTAATTTTCAAGCTTTCTGCGCTGTGAGTATTTTAAGCAATTTTCAATAGCCAAGTAGTATTTATGATGTGTGTTTTATATATTCGAGTATAAGAGTATGTAATGTATAAATAAATTTTTGAAGTTTATCCTCCTTTTAGTACAAAATTATATGTATATATTCGATTCATATGATATTTTTGATTAAAAACCATTTCAAGGCTACCAAAATTAATGGGTTCATAATAAAATAAAAAAAATACAAAAAGTATGTTTGTGTGTTTATTAATATATTCAAATGACACACTATAGTCATAGATATGCGCAAAAATTCGAAAATCTTTCTACGTAATAATATTAATAAATAAATATGTAAGTATGTATGTATAATTAGATACAATATGATTGCATTAGATATGTAGGTAGGTGCCAATATAATGGGAACAAAAATCTCATCTTTAATTCTATTTTAGATTTTTTTTATAGCATAAAATATCTAAAGAAATTTTCAAATAATTTTTGATGGTGTGGCGTGAATTTTGTGCTTATATTTTTTTATCTTATTTCATTTTTTGAGTACAAATCTAAAATTTGTGTACCATCTGTTTAAATTTTATGTGTGAATAATCTCATTTTATTTTTTAATTTTTTAATAAATAAAGTACGAGTATAATAAAAATAATTTTTAAAAATTCATAAAATATTATTAAAAAAAAACAAAAGTAAATTTTAGTAATGAAAATGAAATTGAAAACTGCTCATGGTTAGTAATTGAAGTTAAAGTTTCTGTTACGAATTGGGGAATGATTATCAAAATAAAAATATATTATTGTAGGTCAAGTGGTTGAAGTGGTACGTCTCACATTTTTGCTATATTGAGTTATTGTAATATAAGATGAGCTCGAAATAAGAAAGAGGATAAAATTATAAAAAGTAACGAAATTCAAAATTAGTTTTTTGTGCAAAATTTGGATATAAGCTTTGTTGTGCGTTTTTTTGTGCCCTAAGGTTGTTAAATTTTGGTGAATAATATTGGCAATAAATTACATAATTAAAATTGCATATTAATTCGTAATATTGTATTGAAGGTCTACATTGTTACATGTTTTTGTTAGAGAATTATTTAATTTTAGAAAAAATTCTCTTGTATAACCAATATTTTTATTTTCAATTATGTATTTGCTTTAGAGCCGTGTATGGTTTTAAAGTACTATTATTTATTTTTGCAGTATAAATATAATGACAATACAGTTATTTATATTACAAGAGTAACTTCTACTTTGCCTAAGCTACCACTATAATGTCAGTTCCAGCACAAAATTTTTAGGCTTATAAACATAAGGTCCAACGCGTTTTCACTGAATTCACATGAAGTTTTATCGTGAAAAGTTATTCTTTTGGACCTCGTATGAATTTATGAGTGTATCTTGATATTTCTAAAAATTTGTAAATTTCGTTCAATCACAAAGTATTAAATATGTGCCATATTTAATTTTTCTATCTATATATTTTATGTATATGGTTCGTATAAAATTGTTTAAATTATAAGTTATTTGCACTACAAAACAAATTATCGAAACTAAAAACCGTGAAAAGTTTGTCTATTAATCATTATTAAATAAATATTTCAACCAAAATACAATGATAGACACAGTTTGTTAAAAAAAAAAAAATGATTTCGTTTTGGAGATGGTAATTATTCCAATAGTGTGTAAATTGATATATTAGTTATTAATTAGCATCTAACAAATTGACCTTACGCTTACATACGTTTTTTTAGTTCATTTCTGATTTAAAAATTTTGATTATTTTATTTTTGATTGTAAAATTTTACGAATTCGATTTTAAAATTAAAAATAAGATTATTATTTCAGGTCTAAATTGAATTTTGCATTTATTAATTGTGAGATGGCATGAATTGGTACCATCAGCCAGTTTAATTTGGGCGTTGAACTCTTATAACTGTAGATATGATAAGAATAACGAAAAATCCTATGAGTTCACAAAAAAAAGTCCACTGCGTCTCATTTCGCGTGAAAAATTAAATCGTAAATTTTCCAGAAAATAGAATTTTCCATATAAAAAGTCAACATTCATTTTAAAATTTCCATTCTTCATAATTTGATTTAAATATTACAAAGGTTTTGATTTATTTTTAATTATGATATTTGAATTGTTCCTTGAAAATTGATAAAATTGTTATTATGCAATTTTTCCAACTTTTAGAATTGTGTGAGGACATGACCTTTCCTTTATCTTCGTTAATAATTGCAGTACTTCAACTGAAGGTGTAAATAAGCAAAAATTGGCATTGACCTAAAATATTTTTGTAATTTTAATAAAAAATACAAAAAAAAACTTATAATAATTATTCAATTTTTTTTTTATCAATTAATCGCAATCACTTGTGATATCTACTTTCTATATAAGTTATATATTTACCCTTAAAATTCCTATCAATCGGTGACCTTACGAGTATTATTCATTTATCAGAAAAATATGAAAGATAAATTTAATATCTAAAATAATTTTAATTAAGTAATGAGGATTAATTTTATATTTAAATTTTCTTTCTCAAATATTTAATTACTAATTTTGTTCTTTATATTTTTTACAGGAGTTTATTTTTTCTATGCGTCACACCAAATATTTTAAATGGATTTCATGTATCATCATATGTTTTTTTGGGTCATATACCAGAAGAAGTTCACTGTTCAGTTGATGTATTAAGAGATGCAAATTGGACAACTTCACAAATTCGTAACATTACCGAATATAAATTAAATACAAAAGGCTGTACAATATGGAATTATGACTATGTAAAATTAGTTGAAATGGGTTATGAAGAAGCCTTCCAGTATATTAAGACACATGAAACACAAGAAGTATCATGTCGATCAAAGAATGGTACAAAATTTGAATATGATCATGAGATGGGTGCTACTATTGTTGCTGAGGTAATTATATACTATAGAAATTATTATAATAAAAAATTAGTCTTTGATAACTCATAAGATTATGTAAGATGATTGATTGGGATTATACTTGCTGTGATTCATACGTACTTATACTCTTTGGTGGAATGCAAACATACATATACGTACATAATTATATAATATGGAGCGCTTACAAAACAATATAAAAAGCATTGATGCATTATTCTTAATTCGAATCGAATGAAAAGCACACTATATGTATATTTTGTGGTTCTCTTCAATTCAAATTGATTCCATAATTTAACCACATACACACACACACATTACAATTAAACCGTAATTAATGAGCTATAAAATTATATATAAAATTATATTTCAATTAAAAATTCTTGATTTATAATTTCAGTGGGATTTAGTTTGTGAAAAATCTGTTCATAGAACATCCGCTCAACTTTTAGTATCGATTGGTAAATTTTTAGGTGCATCATCATTTGGTGTTGTCTCAGATAAATATGGAAGAAAGACAAGTTTTTCAATAGCTGCAATTTGTTATATGGCAGGAAGTATATTAACAACAGTATCGCCATGGTATGCACTATTTTTAATTGGAAGATTATTATTGGGTGCTGCTGCTTCTGGTATATTTTATCCAGCTTTTGCATTATGTAAGAAATTTTTTTGATTAAAATATGTTACGATATTATACTTACAAGTTAATTTTATTTGTTTTTATTTTAGTAACTGAAAATATCAGCTTAAAACATCGTTCTTGGATGAGTATAGCTTTTAGTGCATCATATCCAACTGGTATGCTTCTGTTGGCTTTAGCAGCATATTTAGTAGATTCATGGCGTTATTTACAATTGTCTTTAACAATACCTGGCTTTTTACTAATTTTGAACATATTGTATGTGTACTCGATTTTAAATTTCTCTTTGCGATTCTTTATATAAAAAAATTTATATTATTTTCATTGCAGCTTAATGCGTGAGTCTCCTAGATGGTTACTGAGTCATAATCGTGTTGCAGATGCTTATAAAATTGTTTTCAGAAAGAAGAAAGACTTAGAATTCAATCAAATTGAAGAAAAACCTATCATTGAGCAGAAAAAAGAAGTAACTTAAAAATATTTTTCATTAAAAATTCTAGCATTTACTTATTAATACATATGTAATTACAACCATTATAGGAAAAAATGGAAGGACAATGCATGTGGACAAGAATTCGCGGTTGTTTTAAAGAATTTGGAGCTTTATTTGGCCCACCAAGAATAAGACGAATGGTTTTGACTTGTTATTTTATGTGGTGTGTAACGTCCCTTTGTTATTATGTTACTGGTAAGTTAATACACTTAAGAATTGAAAAATAAATATGTAGCTAGTAATTTTTTTTACACTATGTAATTGCATAATTTTATTTAAGCATTGAACGCTGATAATTTGGCAGCAAATCGCTACATGTACGTAGCAATTACTGGATTAGTAGACATTCCAAGTTATATTTTACCGATGATTTTATTGAAATTTATGGGAAGAAGAAAGGCTGCAACAACAATGTTTGCAATTGCTGGCATATCGTTGCTTTTAGTATTGGCTGTTCCACAGGGTAAATATTTAATATTTCAACTTTTATTTTCAATTTATATGATTTTGTATGTATATAGGTTACGAACAGTGGTTGGTTGTATTTGCGATGTCTGGACGATTTGGTATAAGTGGAGTTTATTCAATTGTTACCCTTTTCACAACAGAATTATTTCCAACGGAAATTCGAAATACAGCTTTGGGAACATGTTCAACAATGTCACATGTTGGTAGTATGATTGCCCCATATGTTGTAGATGTTTTGGTAAGATATTAATTTTTATAATTTACATATAATTTTGACAGTGGCCTAACAAAACTTCTGTTTTTTTCATTTAAGGGTCTTGTTGGTGCATTCATTCCGACAACGTTATGTGGTAGTTTAGTTCTTGTAGCTGGTGTCTTAATATTAACACTTCCAGAGACTGGTACACGTAAGTTAGCTGATAATGTTGGTGAAGAAAATGAAGAACTGAAAGATAGTGAGGATGCTTAAATAATATATGTAGTATAATAAGGACAATATAAGTGTATAATAATTTTTTTTACATTTACCATAGAGTTATTAAAATAATTAATAATATTTTTTATAAATATATATTTATATGAATTATGTAAAATTTTATATTGTAAGATTTATATGTTAAGTTTTGTATTCGTTTTATGTAAAAAAAATGAAAAACAATTTTTTGTTTAAGATTTAAAATAGTTGTTAGATTAAAAAATAACAAAAAAGTAGAAAAACAAAAAAAAGAATCCTAATATCTTAAAATACCTATGTGAAAAATAAAAATAACGAATTTAAAATTTTATTTTTTATTTTAAATAAAATTCTCTAACGAATAGTAGAATCACGATAAAATGAAAATGTTTTAAAACTAATCAAACTTAGTCAAATTTATTTAATGAAAAAACTCTAAGAATACGCGAATTATTTATTTTGTCGAGAAATAAATAAAGCTATCGAATAAAAAATATTCATATTGTCATCTATATTTATTTTACTGAACTGCTCTTAGACCAACTAAAATAAGTACTTGCATGATATATAAGGCCTTCTTACCAAAAATTTTGATTTCATTCTGAATTTAAACATCAAAACTACTGTGCAACAATAATTTTATGTATTAAAAAAATTGTATTACTTAAATTAAATTTACATTTTAAAATTTAAATGCAAGGTTGAGCTAGCACTCCTTGTTTATTCTTCCTTAAGTTTAACAACTGGTAATTTTGACAGACTGATTATCCAAAACAAAATCCAAGCTGGATACAAGACTAGAGTATTTACTGCAAAAAGCCAATTACCGTATATCTGAAAAATTAAAATTCATATATGTATATATATTTTGTTAATTTTGATTCTACTATAGGTAATACTTACCATCCAATCAACTATTGAATATGTAAGTGCATCAGCTGTAGCAGTTGCAGCACGAATTAAAATATCTGTTAAGTTTAATTCTTTAAATGAAAATAATGTTAATACAAAAACTACTCCATAAGTAATTAGAAGTGGATGAAGAAGGAATGTGTAAATAATACTAATACTTCGTTTAATTTTTTTATGTTCAAAACTTATATAAATTGCCATTGGAACTGCAGCAATAGAAAGTAGGAAACCTAAAGAAAAATTTAATAGACCTATAACAGTTAAAGCTGAGCCCAAATATAACAGAGACGCCACATGCAATAACTAAAAAAATTGAATTTTAAAGCTAAAGTATTGTAAAACTAATTTTTTTTTTATATTAACCTCAAAACTATTTTTAGTAAAATTTACAAAAACTGGAACGAAAAAACCCAAGATTGAGATGCTTGTTATTAATATCGCTACAGTAATTTGAGTACTAAGACCATTTGTTGCAAAGTAGTCACTTATTTCTTTCGACTGCGGGATGTAAAATGCTAAGGTACCAAAAAACGTAGCAACACCAGCAACTTTTGCTATGTAGTCAAAAGGTAAATTTAAATCTCCATATTGCCACATAGTTTTTTTCTCATCATCTTCATTTTCGTTTTTTTGTTTCTCATCATCTTCAATACTTGGCTCCCTTTCGATTGACATCCAAATTAAAAATGCTTTTATATACAAAGAACCTGTCATAAGTATTAGGCATGGCATAAAATCACCAATCGATATAAAACGATCGTTTGCCACAAGAATATAAAAAAAGAAGCTTTGATGAAATCTCTCCAATAAATTATTTAAACTTCTTGAAATTCCTTCAATTGTTTTTAAAAGGCTAATCGCCCCAAGCATTTTATTATGATTGTTTGATGACTCCCGTTTCACGGCTTCTAATGTTAGAGATTCTACTCTAAATCGATGAAATAAACCATGATTTCCAGTTGGAACACCATTTGATTGTGCTACAATCATACTTAATAAATGTTTCATATTATCAGTTAAAGTTTGTTGATGAATGCTTTTTTTCTTTTTCTTTGTTTGCTTATAACCGGATGATAAACTCTCTCGAACTGCGAGTCTTTGTACTAAATTAAACAAATCTAAATTTGGTAACTGACCATTTAAACCTTCAATTTTGACATCTAAATATTGAGCATCGAAATCTTGAATTTCCAAATTTATAGCAGCTTGTAGTGCACCTGCTCTAGCTGCTAAAGTTCCAGCATTAAGAATTCCGTTTTCACCATCTAAACCACCTTTAAAGTAAGCCTCTAACCAAGCATGTATACCTAACTGCTCCTGATCAGTTACTAGAAATATTATGTCTTTAGCCCAATAATTCTTCCCTGAAATTAATGTTGATCAGAATATGTATTTGAAAGTGTGTAATAAATTCTATACTTCTTGCGAAATCTGCAAAAGCCAATAGTATAGGTACACTTGCAGTTATTTCAGTATGAACAGAATTAGGAGGTCTGTATGGTGTAGAAAATATTATTCCTTCAGTTGAACCAATTCGCGGAGCTCTTAAGATGCCGTATACATTTTTTCCAGTAAATGTTTTGCCTCCTCCGAAAGGATAGTGAACAGTAAAATTATGTGTATGTGTTTCTAATCCAATTTGCTTCATCTTTGCCATAATCCAAGCGTACGGAATACCTGCTTTATGCGTCTCACGTTCTTTAGATAGTTCTTCCAATAAGGATTGGGCATATCTTGCAGAGTCTTGTTTTATTTCCGAATATACAAGCCCTAAATAGTAATTTTTAGACCAATAAGCAATTTTTAATTTATAAAATCTATGATTTATGAAACTAAAAAATTTACCTGGAGATAAGGCATTTTCTGAAAGATAAGTTGCGTGATTAAAATCTGTATGAGCCAGAAATCCAAAATATATTAGACCAACTAAATATAATAATATACAAATTTTTCTAGTATGTTTAATGCAATTTTTAGCTAATCTACTTTTTTGCATTAAAGTTGGATCCGTCAATATACCCATCTTTAATATTTCTTTTAAGGAAAGGCTAAAATAATATTATAAAGTTCTAAATATGAATGTACATATTTAATTTTTACAATTAAGTTTAATATTTTAATTTATACTCACAAATTTTATTAATAATTCTTAATAGGGGTAGTAAATGTGGACAAAAGTTTCTAAATTATCATTCCGGCGTTTAGTTTTTCAAAACAAATATAAATTTTTGGAGTTTTGACATTTAGTAAACTGTCTCACTTAAATCTTGTCAGCTGTTTCATTCAGACACATTCTAACTTAGCTACCTTTAGAATATTGTAAATTAGGAAATTTAGAATATGTCAAATCAAATACATAGTTCGGAATTTGCATTTATTAAGAAAATAAAATCATTATTTATTTTAGAAATGATGCTCAATATTTAAACTTTTCTTTTACCTAGAATATAATTTTGTAATTTATGAATGTTCTAATATTTCATTTTAGTTTCTGTATTAAATCACGACGGCGCTTGTTGTAGTAAATGTTTTTAGTACTAATCAATAAGACCAAATTAAATTTCATATGGGTTTGTGTCTTTACTTATACAAAAAACCCGAAATTATAACCCATAATGGGAAATAGTTATTTACACTCTCTTAGAATTTGAAAATGGTGTTCAATAATTTTTAAGAAATTATAAAAAATTTTTACCTAAAATTGTTTCTTATTTTATATCTAATGCGAGTATAATAATACAGAGGTAAATTTAAATCTTTTGTACTATGAAAAAATTTATGAAACTGGCCATTTTATAATGACATTGGAAATAAACTAATTTTGCTCTTGAGGGAGAATTTGACCGCATAAGTAAGTCATCTATATTTTCATTTGTTTTTATGAATTTTTGAATTGTGCATTTTGATTTTAAATAAAACTCATATTGATAATTATAAATATTTTATTATAACCATAGCATTAACAAATAAATAAAATTACATATATACATATGTTCATATGTATTTATGAAGTAAAGGTTTGAGTCACAGATCATGGATTTAGGAATTTTAATAATATAAAAGTTTTATTATTTTTAAATGGCGAGGATTTTTGTTTTGCATTTTTATTTTTATAAGAAATTTTTCGGTGGAACATTAAAAAAAGATTGTTTCAGTTTTTTCGTTTTAAATTGATTTTGTAACATAAATTTTTTTTGTTGTTTTTCTTGTGATTGTACTCCCCTTTGTTGCTGCTCTTTTTCATGTTTTGATTTTTCAATTAATATTTCATCTACAACTTTGGTTATATGATCATTACCATTTTCTTTAATTGATGTTGTTCGAACAGCAATTGGTACAATAATTTCATCATTTGTTCTTTGTAAATTTTGAACATTTTCTAATCCTGGAAATTCCAAACTTGATGGTGCAACTACATGATCCCAATTTTCTGATCTTAATATATCACCATTAGCACTTTTAAACCAGAATAGAGGGAATGGCAAAAAACGTCTAAATTTTAAAAATAGAAGTTTTGTACCCGCAAGTAAAGGAATGCCGAAAAGACGTCCTTCTGGATCAATATTATCCTCTTTTGTTCCTGTCGCTGATGATATGTTTTCATCATCATAGTCTTTGTAATTGTTTCGAATTTTTGATCTTCCAAATGATGATTTTGATTTGATATTTTCATTTCGTTGATACATTGGCCTAATTTCTGATTCAATTGTAGATTTTGTTTCTGATTTAACGTTTGATTCAGGTTCTGTTTCTGGCTTTGGTGTTGGTTTTGGTGTTGGTTTTGAATCGTCGACTTCATTTGGAGTTGGTTTGGTAGTGCTTTCTGAGTTGCTTTCCGTGGTTGTTGTTGATTTTGACGAAATTTCAATTTTAGTTTGTGAATTGTTTTGTTCATCCATTTTTTTATCGGATAGTTCTTCATTTGATTTTTCGATTGCATTTTCACCGTTAATTATTTGTATTGAAATTGCAATTATAGCAATCACATAAAATGAATTAAAACCAAGTTTCATATTTTCGTTAACGTTTAAAAAATTTTTTTGTTTTTTTTTTCTTTTTTCCGGTTTTACTGTTTTATTTTTTTTCTAATTTAAAATTTTATAAGGACCGTTCCGTTTAAAGATTTTTAATGAACTGAAATTTAAAATTTTGTACTCAAAAGAATTTATATGACAATATAGAAAAGTTTTTTTACTTAGTAGGTCAGTTTAAAATTTTTATTAAGAATAAAGAAATAAGAATCAATTTTCAATGAAAAAGACATAACAAGATAATGGATTACAATGTTACTGAAAGAGTTCAAAAGTTTTTGGCGAATTCTTCATATAGTTTATAATATAACGGTGAATTAGAATGTGTTAGCATAAAACATAAAAGAGTGTGTAAGCTATAGTGACTTGTTGTCTTTGTTTTTACTTTTTGTTTTTTTTTTGCTAATTTGTATATTAGAAATTTAAGTTCTTACAGTTCATATTCTAAAAAATGAAATAGGATGAATGACGATTATAATCAAATATTGAAATATAAAAAAAAAATGAGATAAAAAAATAAATCGACAGAGTATATGAAAGTACAGTGTTGGCAACAAAAAAGGCAACATTAGAAATAATGAAGTGGTAAGTTATTTTGAAGTGCAAGTTACTAAGAATAGCTTGTTGTTAAAAGCCATGATTGGTACGTCCACTATTAATGCAATAGTCGTTTTGTAAACAGGCACCATGAAAGGTGAAAATGGTGATTTCTGCAATAAAATAACCAGAAAGAGTAATTAAAGAAGTAGTTTAAATATAATCATTTTTATTACATTAAAGGTTAATATCTTCGTATTGAATGTTATTGCGACTGAATGATACTGTAACGCTTCGGGAATAACCCGTACATAATTTTAGTGCTGTCCATCAACATGTCAGATTCTGACATGTTGATTTTCAAAGGAAACGTTCACAGTTTTAATTCTGGACTTCAAAATAATTTTTGAGTTTTATAAAATTTTTCTCTTCTTGTATTGAAAAATTTATAATTGTGAATTTTTTAATTGTGAAAAGTAAAAAAAAAAATTCTTAAAAAATAAAGAAAATAATTTTGACGGATCTGCTAGTTTAATAAATTTGACTAGTTATTGACGAAGTTTATGTAAATTTTTATTTTTATTGAAAAGAAAGAAAAATTTTAGACAATAAAAAAATTATTTTAAAGTTTTAAGTACAGTTTCGATCAACGGCATGAAGTGTCAAATTATTGAGGATTTTGAACTTTTTCCATAATAAAAAAAAATTTATTCAAAAGCTTTTGTTGGTGAATATTAAGACAAATTCATATTGAAAAAAAAGTAGGTTACCTACAAATAATTTATTATTGTTTTTCAGACATATTAGAAATGTTATGATTTTTTAAGAATTTTTTAATAAATTTATGGAAATTTTCTTGTTTTTTTTCTCTCTCTTTTTTTATTATGTTTTTTTTTTTAAATATAAAATCATAATAAATTATAATTTAACTTTTATTTGCTTTTATTCAACGTTCTTTATTGTGTATTTTATTATTTTGTCTTTAATTTTGTTTTGACAAATTTATTAGAAAAAACTTAATGAAGACGCCAGTCATTTAAGGTATAAGCGATTAATAAGGTGTACAAAAAAGCTTTAAGCAGAACTGGTTTTGGTTTATGTTTTTTTACTCTTGCTATATAAGTAAATTAAGAATTGTGACCTATTTAAACTTTCATTTTTATTTTCGTTACATGTATACACAAATGTATGTACGTACGAATGTTTTAAAAGTGTTATATAATTTATTAATTGCAAATATTTTACAGTTTCCTTACGATACGAGCAATATTCATAATTTAATATTTGGCTAAGTGCTGTAATCTCTATATGCAATTGATACAAGGAACTTGTCAAAACTGGTGAGTGCTGACTAAGTCAAATTGACACTAATAGCCTAATCGTGTATCTCGCTTTTTTTACTCACTTTTTATTCACTCTCAAACAGAATTTTTCGTTTTTCTAATAGATGTTTCATTGTTCTATAAGGTTACTCATTTTTTTAATTGGATTTTTGCATTTTTTCTTAAATTGTCGGCTGAACGTCTCACTTTCAAAAACAAACTTAATAAATTTTGCATACATTTTAGAAAAAAATCAGGTACGCAATACTGAATAATTTTTTTCACTCGAAATTTGCATTATACAAAATATATAATAGTTATTCACTTTTTTTTCACTTACCGAGTAAAATATTGAAATAAATAGGCCCTAAATTTCCATTTAAGACGACATATTTTTGATCATTTTACTGAAAAATCTATACGGATAATGACGAAATGTCATTCAAGAATGATAGGTTTTTGAAGAATTTATTAACACTATGATGTCTGCCGTTAGAAGGTTGTATAATATGTGGCAACTTTCTAATAATGTCGACAAATGAAAACATTGCATAATAATGATTGTCATATTAGTATTTGTATAGTGAAAGAGCATTAGAATTATACTTCTATTTAAGCTGCAATTTTATGTGATCGCTATAAAAATTAATTTTTTTTTTGTAAAGCAAAAGTAATAATATTAATTTTTTTTTAACCTGCAACAAAAATTTTACGAAAAAAAACGTAAAATATTTAAAAACTTTTTCGAAAAAATTCTTACAATTTTTAGTATAAAAAATTTACAATTTCTTTTTTTTTTATTGAAAAATTGAAAAATGTAAAAACTTTTTGTTTTTGATCCTTTTTCCAAGTTTTATATTATCCTTTCAACGCTGAATTATAGCCAGAGTTTTGTTAAACGTTAAATATTATTCTCGTATAATGGTGGAATTTCAAATCATTTTCACGAAATCCCATCACGTTTATTATCTTTATTTTAATCGTATTTCCACATATCCTTTGTGAATTTCAAGAATTCAAGGATTTTGTAGTTAAAAGGAAAGAGGGAATCGTTTTATGGATAAGGAATTATTTTTTTTTTGTTCTTTTATTTATTGTTTGTTATACAGACATGTGTTGAAATGTTTTGCGGAGAAATAAAAACAAAAATGATGTGTAAACATTTTTATTACTCAAATTTTTTTTGGTTTTTCTATACACACACACACACACTATATTTGAGAATTTTCTTAAAGAAGTTGCGTAAAT